ACATCCACTTTGTCTTTGTCAGTTAAGTCCGCCACTTGGCCCCTACCACCGTGGGGTCCAATAAGCCTCATTGTAGTTAGGTGTCTTAGTTCAGTTAGGGCAGTTCCCACTGTCAAATCTGACTTACACAAAATAACAATCATGGCACTCTTGAAAGATCCTGGGGCTCCCTTCACAAGTTTGTTCCTCAGCTTTGTGGTATAAGCTGTTTTCTAGGCACTCTGTGGGTGGGTCTGTGGGTTTAACCTGATAAATTCACTGTAACATCTTGATTTCCCTAAGCCTTTGGATACCTTGTTCTACAGTATATCAAGGAAGTTCTGTCATTTCAAGTTGGTTTAGTGTAGACCACTGCTTTATCTATGCTTCAGTGAATCAACGAAATAATTAGATCTTTTCCTCAAGCTGAAACACTGAATAAAGAATCTGTGCTTAGTGGGCCCATATCAATAAATTCAGACTGATCTAACTTTATGTTCCTTGCATCATCATTCCACAACTTTAATAGCCATTTTTCACACATATTCCCCAGGTTTCTCTTTGTATATATTAAAGAAAAATCAAGCAGTTGTTTTGGAGTATTGTAAACCTCCTCCTTGGTCACACTATGTACTTCATCTCTTGTGATCTCTGGGACTTAAGTCTAGTTATAGGTCTAAAAGAAGAACCACTGTCAGTACCAAATGTCTTAGATTGAATTCTCTGGAGGAACAAAACCATAATATCTATATGTATGAAGAGAGAGAGAGAGGTAGAAAGAGAGAGGTAGAGAGGGAGAGATTGAGAGATTTATTTCAAGGAAATGGTTCATGCAGTTGTGGATACTGTTGTCTCAAATTAAATTAGTTAATCAGGTGTCAGGCAGGGAATGGTGAACCAAAAGTCAGCAGATCAAACAGCAGACTGCTAGCTCACATGCCTGTGGGAGCTGGTGAATCCCAAAGTCTGAAAATCAGTTTGTAGGCTGCTGGTTCATGTCCCAAGAACCAGAGGTCAAAAAGTGATGAGTTGGATGCAAAATCAAGAGAGTAAGAGCTTTACCAGAATATCCATGTATATTGGATGCAGGCCACACCCCTAGGGAAACTCCTTTTTCAACTGATTGGCTGCTCACATCAGATCACAAAAAAGGAAGAGGATTACATAATAGCTTCCAAACCAATGAAAATCATGATCCAGCCAGATGATACATAATTTTAGCCATCACAAGGTCTTATAAAGAAGACCTAATAACCTAATAACAACAACAATCCAGGATTTCTAGGAGCCATGGTGGTGCAATGGTTAAGTACTCAGTTGCTAGCCAAAATGTTGGTGGTTTGAACCAACCCCATGTCTCTGCAGGAGAAAGAACTGGTAATCTGTTCCCATAAAGATTACAACCTAGAAAATCCTATGGGGACATTTTAGTCTGTCACATAGAGTTGCTATGAGTCAAAATCAACTTAATAGCATCCAACAACAGATATATTAATAATATTCTGCATATAGAGTAAAAGTCAATGAAATATCATGTTAAAGACCTTGACATTATCATATGTCATAAAATGATAACTTCCCATTTTATATGGAAGAGATGCAAATAATAGAAACTAGACAAAATTTACTGGGAACTCTGGTGGTATACTGCCTAAGGCATTTGACTGCTAACCAGAAGGCTGGTGGTTCAAACTCTCTAGCCACTCCTTGGAAGGAAGTTTGGGCAATCTACTTCCATAGTGCTATCACCTTGGAAACCCCCCAAAATGGAATAAATATATTAATAATGAGGAATCATAAACTATTAGAAAAAAAGGGATAAAGTTATAAAAAGTATTTTTGAAGTTCTCAATCATATTCTTTTATTATGAAGGTTGGACAAAAGTGTATTTTATTTTCCTTTATTCATATGTTGTTAACATTACCATGGTGAGAGGTTGGGTACAAAATGGAAAATGAAGATCATTACTAGAAAAGAATATTACAATTTGAGAAAATAAAGGTCATGAGTGGGAGGAAATAATCAGCTGTGACACTGAAATGGCTGGACGCAGGGTGATCTATAATGTTTCTCACCAGCTCGCTAGGGGAGAGCCAGCTAAAGATGGAAATTAAACTGGCTTTGAAGATTGGTGGAAAAGCAGCAGCACCTTACATGGTTTGTATCAAAATAAGTGCATTAAATGGCAGGGCAACAGCTCTAGCACTAGAGAGAGACAAACACTTTCTAAATTTTTAAATTATGTGGAAGATAAATTAGGGACACTACTTGCTGTTAAATTTGATTATGAAACAGAATGTTTGTGAGAACACAGCAAAGAAATGGGTTGTGCCAAATGCCTGGTCAAGTCCTGTGGATCAAGCCACAACAAAGCCCTTCAGTTCTATTCCTGACAGGGATTTTTGACTGTGTGTCTAGAACGAGGGAGGCATTTTGGACAGAACTTCTCTGGATGACCTTATCAGCAAGATGAAGAAATTAGAGCTGGATAGCACATGGATTCACAGTTGTTTGAATAACTCTTTGTTTTGGTTTTCTGGTGAATGTTCGACAAATAGGGTTTTATTCTCTTACAGTTTAGGAGGCTAGAAGTCCAAGTTCAAAGTGCCAGCTTTAGGGGCTGGATAAAAGCCCCTCAACCTTGGGCTTCAGCTCTGCCTCTTGCTCCAGGCCCTCTGGAGCTGGAGGTATCTCTTCACTCAGGCAGCCGCTGGCTGCTGAGGCTGACAAACTCAAGGTCAACAGGCAAAATGGCATAGTCCCAAGGTTATCAAGCAACATGGCAGACCACTAGTTCAAGTCCAGAAACAGCCCCAAGATAGGCAGACAACATGGTAGACCACTGATGACTTGGCCAAATGAAGGAACCAGATGTACCAAGAAGCTCAAGACATTTCTCAAAGCTCCTTCTTATACACTGGAAGCAGACCACATCCTTAAGGCAGCTACTCAGTTGCTCACGATAAATTCCACCATGGAATTGATTATTAGTCTCATCATGGGGAATAACTACATCCAGCTGCCCAGTCACTCAAAACCAGGTCAGCCAAGTTAACATATAGCCTTAACTACCACACTCCTCTGTGAAGACTTTAGCCTCTGGTTCACTGTCCATCTCTCTGTTGCTTTTCCAGTACAAATCTTGGTGACACTATTATCTGTGAGGGGCTTATCCAATACAACATCAAGGGGAGTTCTCAGCTCTTTATCACCTTATCTTCTCCCACAATGCACCTTCCTCCTGCTTGGCCACCATTCCCTTTACTTCTGGATCTTGTTATCACCAGTTACTGCAACCTCTCTACAAGCTCAGTGATAAGTGTCTTCCTCTCCAATCAACCCTTCTTTCTTTCTAGCTTCTTCTCTCTTCTACTCTAACTTGAACCACTGATACATTCATTCAGGATTTTACTCCATCAAGCTCACTTTCTCTCCCTAACATTCTCCCTTTCATCTCCCACCTTCCAAAAATCAAAAAACAAACTAAATGCCACCGAGTTAATTCCAACTCATAGCAACCTTATAGGACAGAGTAGAACTACTCCATAGGATTTCCAAGGCTATAGGCTATAATGGAAGCAGATTGCCACACTTTTCTTCAGAGGAGTGACTTGTGGGTTTGAACCACTGACCTTTCAGTTAACAGTCGAGTCCTATGCCACAAGGACTCCTTTTCACCTTAACATCTATAGTCAATGATAATTACCCCCTTGAATACTCCATCAACTTCTCTTTCTTCATTATACTCCTCAGACCCAAAAAGTAATGGTTAATTTTATGTGTCAAATTGGCTAGGCTATGGTTCCCAGTGATTTGGCCAAACACTAGTTGTTATTATGTAATGTAATGTAATGTAATGGTAGGTAATGTGATGTAATCACCTTTCATAATGTAATCTAATGTAATGCAATCTCCTTTCATACAGTAATCTAATCTAATATAATCAATCGTCTGAAAAGAGAGTTTCCTTAGGGTGTGTTCTGGCTCTAGAATAGAAATAGATATTTTGGCAGAACTTTATTCTGCACTCTTCCCATTGCCTGACCTACAGGTTTTGGAATGCAAACTGCAGAAGTCTTCAGTTTGTCATTAGACCTATGGATTCTGGACTTGCCAGCCCCACAATCACATCACTGGCTCTGTTTCTCTAGAGAGCCCTGACTTAGATACCAACCTTAGTTAGACCCAGCTCTCCACCTACTCCACGTCTTCCTTCGCTGGAGAAAAATCGCAGGCCCAACTTATGGGTGTCAATTTAAACTCATGCTAACTAGCTTCAAGTGGGGTCAGACTCTATTTTCTAGTCCTCCCCCAGAAAACTGTTTTATACCTACAGCACTCCTCAAACTTCCAGAAGTCCCTCCTTCTTTCTCAGTTTCATCTGATGAAGTATCTTCCTGTCTCTGAGGAAAGAGAGGCAAACATTTGCCTACTTATATGCATCCTGTCTATGCATGCTGTCTTCTCTCCTGTCACTGAGGAAGCATACCTATGTCTCTGGCCAAGACCCATTCCTGCATTGTGAACTGGATCTGTCCCTTCTTTCCTATAAAAGGTTGCCCTTCTCTGGGCAGGAACTTTCTTCTGTGGGCTGGAAGCTATGGAAAAGTGAATACATCACCTTTGATGGTGCTGGACAGCTCCCACTAGCAGATTTCCTTGCCCTGGGGATAGTCATACATTTTGGACCTAGTGGAGACCATAGCTGTTCTCAGCTGTTTAGGTTTTGAACAGCTCTTTTCTGCATTGGAAAGCAGACTAATGGTGAAGACTATGGTAACGTGCTTCTGGCTGTCAGTTATATGAGCTCCAGTGGTCTTACAATCCTGGCATTTAGGAAACATTAATGGAATAAGTGCCTGCTAGCAGTTTCAGAGGGCTGGTGCATCAGTGCTTTCTGACTTCTACGAAGCCACTCACTGCCAATCACCAAATTCTCACCTCTCTCACTTCCCTCCCCTCTTGAGGAATAACCATGAGGTCAGTGCAATATGGGAAGCCCACTGGAGTTCTCACCCACCTTCTAGGATGTGTTTGGCTGTCTGCACACAGCGAAGGGCTGGGGAGACGAAGACGGAGGTGATTCTGATGCCACTGTCCAGTAGAGCTTCCCCTGGAAAACAGCAGGTGGAAAATGTCCTCCTCACAATTCTAGCCTAAGACACTTCACTGCTAACCAGAAGGCTGGCAGTTCAAACCTACCAGCCACTCCTCGGAAGGAAGGTTGGGCAATCTACTTCCAAAGTGATACTGCCTCAGAAACCCAAGGAGGGGTCACTATGAGTTGGATCCGACTTGACAGCAGTGAGTTTGGTTTGGTTTTTATAGATGGCTATGACTTGCTACCTGTGGTAAGCAGTATCCTAAAATGGCTCCAAGATTTCCACCCTCTGGTGTACATGCCCTATATAATCCCTTTGAGTGTGGGAAGAACTGTGACTATGACCAGATATCAGTCCTATGACTATGTCACTTTATATAGCAAAAAGGAGATTATCCTGGGGGGGGGGCTGACCTATTCAGGTGAGCCCAGTGAAAACAAAGATTTTCTCCAGCTTGTCACAGAAAAGAATTCAGAGATATTAGAAGCAAGTGTATAAGAAATTCTCCATCGCTGGCTTCAAAAATGGAGGGGACATCATGGCAAGGAATGTAGGAGGCTTCTAGGAACTGAGAGCACCCCAGGCTGACAGTCAGCAAGGAAATGAGGACCTCAGTTCTACAAGCCCACAAAACTGAATTTGGCCAACAACATGAGTAAGTTTGGGACTATTTCCTCCCCAGATGAGATCTCAGCCTAGCTGACACCATGATACCAGCCTTGTGAGACCCTGAGCAGAGGATCAGCCATACCGTGCCAAGTCTTCTGACCAACAAAACTGTGAACTAACAAATGGGTCTTGTCTTAAGTTTGAAGTCATTTGTTATGCAGCAATAGAACCCACTACGTGGGCCTCATGGAAGGACAACCCTATAAACCCCATTTCCTCTTGCAGTGTTAAAGAAGCTGATCTCCCCTTCTTTGGGGCAGAAAAAGAATCTCTGCAGAGCAAAACTACTTGGTATTGCAAGCCAGTGAAGCTTTATTGGAGGCTGACAATGGCTTACACACACATGCATTCACAAACACTCTCAAACACAGGTCTCCCCTGATTTTCAAAAATTTGTTTTATGCCATTTTGCTTTCACAGAAAAACTATACCAGTACCTGTTTTTGTTAACCAAAATAGATCTGAAGAGGAATTGTGTGCTTACTAAAAAAGGGAAAAGCAAAACTAGCATTCAGCTTTTGGTTTGCAGTGAGCCATTAAAGACATAGCATGCATCCTGGGCAGTGAGAGTGGCATCATGAATTTCCTTTTCTAGGAACTACACTGTGCATGGGAGCTCTTGTGGCATAGTGGCTAAGACATTTGACTGCTAACCAGAAGGCTGGCGGTTCATAACCCACAAGCCACTCCTCAGAAGGGAGGTTGGGCAATCTAATTCTGTAGTGATACTGTCCTGGAAACCCAAGGAAGAGTCGCTAGGAGTTGAATCTGACTCAACGGCAGTGAGTGACACTGTACATACATTATTTCTACTTTATGTAGGCTGTGTATTTATCATATAATTCCTGATTTTACTATATGTTAGTGTTATTTTAGTTTTATGTGCTATTTGGTATGATTTAGTAGGTTAATTTTTGGGTTTGCAAATGCTTTAAAATTTTTCCCAACGATAACTGTTTCTTTGGCTTATGTCATTACATATGAACATTCTACTTTCAGATAGCAGGGAAAACCTATATACACACACACATACACAGATGTGCCAGCAACCTCATCTAAGTATAAAACACATTACAGGCACATTACAGATGGTGTCTACATACAGGCACATATGGTATTCAAGCACACATGCCCACACACATGCACACTCACACAAACACAACATACACACCACAGGTGCTATGGTAGAAGGAGCCTTGGCAGAGATTTGTGGGACTGGTTCACACCAATCTGTGAGAAAGCCAACTCTGTCTCTGTCTTCCCAACTCTGCACTCAGTGACCTCATACCCACAGATCAGCCACAGATCAGTCACAGAGTGAGCATATCGTTATACCACTGAAATCAACAAATGCCACAGATCAGGGCTTCCTTATTCTTCCCAGAGAGCTGATTGTTAAACACTGACCAGAATGCCATTGGGTGAGGAGCCAGGACAGCCAGGTTCTATTCTAGTCAGTTTCTATGTGACTTGGGAAGTTCCTTTGCCTCTCTGCATTCCAGTCTCTTAATGAATTATATGAAGATCAGATGAACTCTATGGTCTCTCTTTTCCAAAAATTCAGTTATGTGGGACCAAAGCCCCAGGCATAACACAAACAACCAAAATGGCATATTTTGAGATAAAATCTATGAAAGGACTTGCTTTTTAAAATTGTTTCAAACAATATCATTAGTATACACAGTGATTGTTGGTTTTTCTTCCCTTGTCTCATTCTTCCAATGTCTATCTTCCATTTACAGTCTCATTCTTTCCATCTTCCCTAACTATCCATTCCTGGTTCAAATCTCTGCACTTACATTTACTAGCTGTGTAACTTGGATGAGTTGCTTAACCTCTCTGTGCCCCAGCTCCCTCATAAGAAGAGTGGCAGTAATGCTAATGCTGACTGTCTTAGTTATCTAGTGCTGCTATAACAGAAATACCACAACTGGGTATCTTTAACAAACAAAAAATTATTTTCTCACAGCTTAGGGGTCTAGAAGTCTGAATTCAGAATTAGAGAAGGCTTTCTTTGTCGGCTTTGGAGGAAGTTCTTTGTCTCTTTTGCTTCTGCTTCCCGGTTCTTCGGACATCTCCTTGTGTCTTGGCATCTATCTGCTTCCTACTTTGCCTGTTTGATATCTTTTATTTCTCAAAAGAGATTGACTCAAGATACACCCTACACTGATCCTGCCTCATTAATACAACAAAGACAATCCATTCCCAAATGGTATTATAACCACAGACATAAAACAAAACAAAACAAAACAAAAAAAAAAACCCTCACTGCTGTCGAGTTGGATCCGACTCATAGCAACCCCTCCTTGGGTTTCTGAGGTGGTATCACTACAGAAGTAAATTGCTCAACCTTCTTTCCAAGGAGTGGCTGATAGATCTGAACTGCCAGTCTTCTGGTTAGCAGTCAAATGCCTTAGGCACTATGCCACCAGAGCTCCCAACCACAGACATAGACATTAGGATTTACAACACATATTTTTTTGGGACACAATTCAATCCATAACACTAACCTCAAAAGACACACAGTAAGGGCTCAATAGACATTAGCTATAATGATTGTTGAGGAGCTCTGGTGGTGTAGTGGTTAAAGCATTTGGCTGCTAATCAAAAGGTCAGTGGTCAGAACCCATCAGCACTCTGTGGGAGGAAGATGAGTCAATCTGCTTCCTTAAAGATTTACAACTTTGGAAACCCAGTGGGGGTAGCTATGAATTAGAATCAACTCAATAGCAGTGAGTTTTTTTTTTTTTTTTTTTCCATGATCATTGTTATTATTACTGTTACCATCCCTACTACTAGCATGATCCTCAAACATACCTGCAAGTCTGGATTGGAAAATTCCACATGATGATAATGGTGGATCATTTTCAAAATCTTTGATACCATTTCTCCGTCTGGGAAGACTGCAAGGGAAGTTCAGGTCTGGTCTGTAGTATTTTCCTAAAGCATAAAGAAGCATTAAATGCTCACTTTTATCGAGTTAGTACATATTTTTTCCCACAAAACTCCCAACATCAAGACCCACATTACAAGTATGTTTACTACTTATTGTCACCTGCATTTTTTTTGGGGGGGGGGAGGTGCTTTCTGATGTGGACTCAATTTAAGGAGAAAATTCTGCCTGCTGTGCATGCAATATTTATTCATATACAGAAAACTTATGTTTAGATCTCAAGAACCATGATATCCCTTTGGTCCTCCCATAAGCCCATAAAATTTACTCAAATGATTTTCCTGATAAAGAACTGAATTTCTATCAGAGACCAAGTGTCTTCCATTATTGATTTAACTTGCTAAGAATATCAAGTTGGCATCAATTAATTAGGTGAAATTTGACTCCTCCGCATAGCTTTAAGTGTATCCTATTGCTCGGGGGATTGGAATGCATATGGCTAGGTATGCCCTTGCTTTATGCATAATTCAGTCAATTGCTTGGACTAAAATCAGGTGGATTCACCATGAGGGGTCACTTTGGCTTTGACCTTGGGCTCTAAGATCTGACAAATGCACTGCCATTGAGTCAGATCTGACTCATAGCAATCCCTTCTTGGGTTTCTGAGGTGGTGTCATTACAGAAGTAGATTACCCCATCTTCCTTCCGAGGAGTGGCTGGTGGGCTTGAACCACCAGCCTTCTGGTTAGCAGTCAGATGACTTAGGCAGTACGCCATGACAGGTGGGGCACAAATCCTAGTGCCACCAGTCACTAGTTGTGTGACTGGAGGTAAATGACTCAATCTCTTATCAGAGAAAAGGGGAAACCGATAGAGTTGTTGTGATGAACTAATGAGATAATTCTAACAGCACAGCCTGGCACAGAGAGTTGTTGTAGTTTTAGTTGTCAATGAAACCTTGCCTGGTTCTGTGTCATCTTCATGACTGTTGGTAAGTTTGAGGTCATTGTTGTGTCTTTTGTGTCACTCCATCTCACTGAGTTTCTCCATCTTCACCTACTTTACCAACCATGATGTCATTTGCTAGTGATTTGACATTCCTGGCATCCAAATAAGCAAGATGAAGTCTTGCCACCCTCACTTCTAAGGAGCATTGTGATTGCAGAGAATAACCTGCCTCATTAACACAGCAAAGAGTAAGTGTTCAATAAGTGGGATCTGCTCATTATCATAGTTGTCATTACATAGAGTACTCTGCCGCACCAAGCTCTCCAGCACTCACTGGTTTGCCTTTGCATTCTCAAACGTGACCCCCAATGGGTTCCAGAAGCCAAGTAGACTTTCCTAAGACCTACTACATGGCAAGAACCAAAACTAAAACCACTGCTGTCAAGTTGATTCCTACCATAGTGACCCTGTAAGACCGAGTAAAACTGCCCCACAGGGTTTCCAAAGCTCTAATCTTTACAGAAGCAGACTGCTGCATCTTTCTCCTGTGGAGCAGCTGGTAGATTTGAACTGGAGACATTTTGGTTAGCAGTCAAGCACTATAACTCCTGGGCCACCAGTAGCCCCCTTTAATTTGAGAGACAGGAAGCTATTTGCTTTGCATGCCTTTTTTTCCACTGCCATGCAAAATTTTTCTGAAAGCTACTACCCTGGAGTTTCCATTGGCAGAGACTTTTATTTGAATCATAAACTTTAAGGGAATTTACTAAATGATAAAACAGTAACCAGGACCTCTGGTGGTGTAAGGGTTAAAGCATTCGGCTGCTAACCAAAATGTTGGTGGTTTGAACCCACCAGCTGCTCTGTGGGAGAGAGATGAGGCAGTCTGCTTCCATAAAGATTTACAGCCTTGGAAGCTCTATGAGGCAGTTTTACTCTGTCCTTTAGGGTTGCTATGAGTCAGAATTGACTCAATGGCAGTGGATTTGATGTGGTTAAAGGGGTAGCCAGGAAAGGAGGCCTTTTTTTTTTTTTTTGGTTTGTGTATTAAAGTAAATCCATCAGTTTCATCATATTCACAAGTGTGTCTATAATCCAAGACTATTTATACTTGAGAGCTCCTCTGTTCCCCTGTAATGGAACAGACTCCAGGCACCAGTAGAAAGAAATAAGGAGCTGTCTGGGAGATTTCTGGATGGATGACCACTTCTTAGACAAGTACACACACAAACAAAGTGCCACAGGAGCTAAAGCAGCCCTCTGCTCGGTCCTCCACTCCTGCAATACCTGTACCGCACAAGGCCATATGGTTGCCTTTGTCCCTTCAATGCTGCTCATACCCCAAGTTTTCTAACAGCACATAACCTGAAATTCATCAAGTGATGCTACTTGCCCACTGTTCACTAATTTCCTGGTAGGCAAAGATGTCATAAATTAAGCCCATGAAATGAATTCCCTGCAAGTCTGGCACTAATGCAGCAAAGAGGTAGCTTCCTTATACAGCACTCATCACAGCTGATCCAGGGGTATGTCTCTGAGCCATGTGTGCAGAAACTGACTGGATTGATCATGGAACTGTACTCTTGGTACACTTGTAGTGGCTCCCTCAGAGCCCAGACAATAAGAAAAAGCAGTAGCTTTCTGGATTTGGCCACTATACGGAGACAGGGTAGGTAGACCTCCATGTTTGTTGGCAATTTTATTCTTGGGGATGTCAGAGAGAAATATACACTGTTTTCCCCCAAGAAATAAGAAAAACCTCTCTTATCTTCCATATTAGTCCAGGTTGGGGCTGTCTCCTGATGTGGTCCTGGACCTGTAGATGATGGACTGACTGCTCAGCTTCTGGGACTGGTTGGGGTTTGTTGGGCTCCTGGAAGGATCCCAGAGGGGCTCAGTTAGCCCAGCAACTATGAATTGATCTTATTACTATGCTCAATACCTTCATCTATGTAATTAGACAATGCTTAGAAATTACGGCACTATAGACTTCATTAGGGGAGATGGTCTAATACAGACATTGGACATCTGTACAGAAATTGGCTTGTGGAATTGTATTTACAACAAACACTATCCTTAGTCCTTGGCATCCAGAGGGGCAAAGTTGGGGTAAGCAAGAGATGAATTCAAGAATATGGCCATCTATTAAGTAGCATAGCCAGATATTTTAGGGAAATGACTAAGACACTTAAGATTAGCTTGTTGATATTGTTAGACAGGGTATGTGTGTTCAGCTGTAGGGCTCAGAGACCACAGGTCAGGGTGGCTTGCTCTAACGTCAGTGCTGTATCCACTAACCAAATACTGTACATATACTCCCAGGGTAAAGAGCACTATCTATGCAATCATACTACCTGACAGGCTAATTATTTATAAACATTCTCTCATCTTCCAAAAAGTATTTGAGGGAAGATACTAACATACAACATACACTCGAATGAACATGTATAAAACTTATGGAGAAAGATGGAACATGTATTACCAGTCACTGTCAAATTGACTCTGATTCATGGTGAGGCCATGTGATTTGTCAGGGTAGAACTGTGCTCCACAGGGTTTTCAATGGCAGATTTTTTGGAAGTAGATGGCTAGGGCTTTATTCCAAGGCTCTCTTGATTGGATTTGAAACTTCAACCTCTAATGTGCTTGGCTGCTAATCATTTGCATCACCCTGGGACTCTGGAGCATACACACATTCCTTATTTATAATCTACACATAGTCTTTCTAAAGGATGGTGCCACAGGGCATCTGGTGCCATGCTAAGGAAATCTCAAAAGTAATCACTTTGCTAGATCAATCTTGTCCTGTGTTTAGAGTCTGTCTGGACTGTACCTACCATCGGGAGTAGAACATTGTTGTAGCCACAACTTCCCAAAGATCTGATCCACTCTCTCTCCATGGCGTACCACCAAAACACTTCTTCTCAAGATTGTGGCCTGGGGGAATGGAAAGAAAGGCATGTGAAATTTAACATCATAATGACTAGGCTTGAACTTCCTCTGGCATGAACTCCATAGAACAATGCTGTCCACCCAGCATAGCATCCTTAGTGAGTTGTCTCTGCTTGAGAATGAATGTCCTGTGACTGCAAGACCCAAAGTGTTCCTGACTCGGTGCTGCCACCTGGGGAGCACTCAAAAAATATTGAAGAGCTCTGATTAGGTTGTGCCCTTACGTAATTAAAGTTCTTAGGTGCACCAATGTTCATTGCAGCACTGTTCTCAATAGGCAAAATGTGGAGACAAATGTCCATCAACAGACAAATGAGTAAACAAAATGTGGTGTGCACTAATCGGATATTACTGAGACATACAGGGAAATGAAGTCTTGATATGTTACAACACAGATGAACCTTGAAAACATATGCTTAGTGAAATAAATCAGTCACAAAAGGTCAAATATTATATGATCCCAGGTATATAAAATAAGCAAATGTATAGAGACCAAAGTTTATTAATGGTTACCTGGAGCGGGAGGGACAGGGGTAGGGGAAGTCTTAGCTTGGGGGGCACTGAGGTGCTATTGGTAGTGGTGGAATAATTGGAAAGGGATAGTGTGATGGTTGCACAACCTATGAATGTAATCAATGTCACTGAGTTGCACTTGTGAAAAATGTTGAACTGGCAAATGTTTTGTTATAAGTATTTTTACTACAGTAAAACAAACAAAAGGTTATATACATAGACAGTTTTTTTCCCCACTAATCAATTCCCTTATCAACAATGAAAAGGTAAACCAGTAAGCTTTTGGACATCCAACTACATTTTGATAGGTACATAAAATGTGGTGTTTGAGGCCCTATTAGAATATATGATGTCTCCCTGTATGTGGTTTCTCATGGCCGGGGTATCGGGTCAAGGCAAAGTGAATATTATGGTTATCTCTCCTTGGGGGATGGTAGATGTTCAGCTCTGGATGCAAACCCCCTCCTTCTAGGGCAGAGCTTTGAAGAAAGGGTTTGTCTTACAATTTTGAAGCATGGTTGAGTAGGGATTACCTGTGCTGACACTAAGATGCTTGGCTTTCTTTCTGAGAATGAATGCTAAAAGATCCTATCCATTCCCCTGTCAAGGGCTGATCTGCAAGCAGGTTGCAGAATACAAACACACAGGCCAGACCTACTGCCCTAGTGGGTGGCAGTTATTATTAATGCACTGGACCAAGGGTTTGGATTTGGGACATTTTCTTCCCTGGAAGAGCCCAAAGCATTTGAGCTTTGAAACGTAGAGCCTTGCCTTAGGGGTATTATTAGAGTAAGGTGAAAGTTTTAGGGGAGTGGAAGAGGCTAACCTCTGGGGCTTTACAGAGCAAGGTAGGCTGAATTGACTTTGTAGAGGCAGTATGAGGTTCAAATGACCACAAACTGGGTGGCTCAAAACAATAGACATTTATGCTCTTGTAGTTCTGGAGGCCAGAGGTTCAAACTCAAGATGTCAACAGGTTCATGCTCCCTCTGAAGGCTCTAGGAAAGAATGCAATCGTTGCCTTTTCTGGATTCTAGTGGCTCCAGGCATTTCTTGGCTCATGGGTGTACCACTCCAATCTCTGTCTTTGTTGTCACATTGCTTCCTTTTCTGTGTGTGTCAAATCTCCTTCTGTTTTTCTGTCTCCCTCTTATTAGGACACTAGTGAAGGCATTTAAGACCCACCCAGATAATCCAGGAAAATCTCCCCATCCCACATCTGCAAAGACCCTATTTCCTCATTAGGTCACATTCACAGATTCCAGGGATTGGGACATGATATCTTGTGTGTGTGTGTGTGTGTGGGGGGCATCATTCAGCTAACTACAGGTGTGTCATACCACATCTGTTACCACAGTTTCCTTTTCTCCCGATATAGAAGGGGTGAAGTTGGAGCAAATGAGGAAGGTTCCGTTCACAGGGACGTGTATGTTAGGTTTCCATGCATTTAAACCACCAGAGAGTGTAGCTATACCTAACAAGCTGTGTCTGCCATGCAGTTCAGATGAAAATGTGCCTACACTTAGCTTACTTAAAAAGAAAAAAATAAAATAAATTGTTACCTGCAAAGCCAGCACACTACTAATAGTCCTGGGTGTTTGTGGAGGATGAAACTCTCCATTCCATCTGTTGCTGGCTTCACCATCCTTTCTGGTATTCAGGTCCATGGCTAGACTGAAGGTGTACGTCCTGGGGAAACAAACAGATGTTGTAAGCAGAGAGGCAATTACATCAGGAGCAATGGAATGTTCCTTAGCCACAAAGAACTGATACATGTTACAACACGGATGGACCTTGAAAACATTATGTTGAGTGAAATAGGTCAGTCACAAAAGGACAAATACTATATGATTTCACTTATATGAAATATCTAGAATAGGCAAATGCATAAAGATCAGAGTTTGTTACTGGTTACCAGGGGTGGAGGTGGAGCAAACAGTTGAGCACTCGGCTGCTAACTGAAAAGTTAGGTGTTTAGACCTTCCCAGTGGCTCTGCAGGGGAAGACCTGTGATTTACTCCTGTGACAATTATAGACAAGAAAATCCTTTGGGGCAGTTCCACCATTTTATCACATGGGGTTGCGATGAGTCAAAATCAACTCTACAGCACCTAACAACAACCATTGGGGCAAGAGTGAGGAGAGAAAGGGGAGGCATTCCTTAGGGGGCACTGAGTTTCTGCTAATGGTGGTGGATAATTTGGAAAAGGATAGTGATAATGATTGCATAATACGATGAGCATAATCAGTGTCACTGAATTGTACATGTGAAAATTGTTGAACTGGCAAATGTTTTGTTATATACAGGTAGTCCCTGGCTTTCAACATTTTCAAGTTGTGACAACTACACTTATGATCATCCAATTTTTTTTTTGTACATGTTATCATTAGTAATAGGTACTGAGTACAGTGTTGCAGCAGTGTATAACTTACTGATGTTATTATTCTCATGCCAACCCCCAATGACAAATATAGATTGGATTTCTAAAGTCACTGAAAATAAAAGGTGATAAAAATGAAAAGTATAAAAATAAAAAGAGGTATTCAATTTCCATCAGAACCAACTTACAACACAGTCATCAGAACAGAGCCCTGTTGTAAAGCAGGGACTACCTGCATATTTTACCACAATGAAAATTAAACAATAACATTATAGTCTAGTCTAGTCTAGTAGAACACCCCTCCTAGGGTTTTCAAGTCAGTATCTCTACGGAAGTAGATCGCCCAGTCTTCCTTCCGAGGAGTGGCTGGTGGGTTTGAACTGCCAGCCTTCTGGTTAGCATTCAATGCCTTAGGCACTATGCACCAGAGCTCCCAGTAGAAGATAATGAGTAATTTGGATAAGGAGTGAAGTGGGGCCATGTCATTGTTGTTGTTATGTGGCATTGAGTCGGACCCGACTCATAGCGACCCCTCCTTGGGTTTCTGAGGCAGTATCACTACAGAAGTAGATTGCCCAGCCTTCCTTCCGAGGAGTGGTTGGTGGGTTTGAATGGCCAGCCTTCTGGTTAGCAGTCAAGTGTCTTAGGGACTACACTACCAAAGCTCCTTGTGGGGCCAATGAGGTATGTGAAAGACAGGGAAAGCTGGTAGCTTCCAAAGATGGTTGATCCTGGTGAGGTGGAAGATTTGATGGTATTAAGGCGTATGCATATTTTCATCAACATAGATGCAATACATAGTATATACATATATATAGTAATGCATTGTTGTTAGTTGCCACTGAGTTGGCTCTTACTCATGATGATCTTATGTATACGAAAACCAAACCAAAATCACTGCCATTGCATAGATTACTACTCATAGCAACCCTCATTGGTTTTCCAAGGCTATAAATCTTTACAGAAGCAGACTACCTCATCTTTCTTCTGTGGAGCGACTGGTGGATTTGAACCACTGACCTTTTGGTTAGCAGCCAAATGCCTTACTCTCTACACCACCAGAGCTCCTTGATCTTATGTATAGAAGAATGAAATGCTGTTCTTGTCCTGCACAATCCTCAAAATCTTTGTTAGGTTTGAACGCATTGTGGCTATTGTATCAACTTATCTCATGGGAGGTTTCCCTCCTTTTCACTGACCATTTACTTCCCCAGAAATGATGTCCTTTTCTACCAATTGGTCTTTCCTGATGTGACTAAAGAAAACAAGATGAAGTCTCACATCCTTGCTTCTAATGAGCATCCTGGCTGTATTTCTTTGAAGACTGATCTCTTCTTTCTGGCAGTCCACAGTATATTCAATATTCTTCACCAACACTACAGATTGAATGCATCAATTCTTCTTCTGTCCTCCTTTTTCATTGTGCTCCAGGTTTCAAATGCACATGAGACAATTGAAAAGACTGTGGTCAGGTGTATCTTAGACATCAAAGTGACACCTTTGCTTTTTAACACTTTAAGGAGGTTTTTGTTTTGTTTTGCTGGAAATTTGTCCAATGCAATACATTGTTTAAACTCTTGCCTACTGCTTCCATTGACATTGATTACTGATCCAAATAGAATGGAATCTGTGGCAGTTATGTTTGTGTGTCAGCTTGGCTGGGCCTGGTTGAGTGGTTGGGCAGCTGGTGGTAGTTATTCCCCATAATGAGACTGGCAATCAACTCCATGGTGGGATCTACCACAAGCAGCTGAGTAGCTGCCTTTGGGATGTGCTCTGCTTCCTGTATATAAGGAGAAGCCTTGGGAATGGCCTCTAGCCTATGGCATGCTTGGACCCTGTGTGTAGCTGTGTCATTGCTCAGCAGCCTGCTATGCTCTGCCGACCTTGGGACTTACAATGGACTTGAATTAATGGCCTGCCATGTGGTTTGGTAAAATCAGGACTGTGCCTTTTTACTTGTCAACCTTGGGGCTTCTCAGCCTCAGCAGCCAACAGTTGTCTGAGTGAAGAAACGTCTCTAGCTCCAGTGGGCCGGGAGTAGGAGGCAGAGCTGGACCCCAAGGGTGAGGGGCTTTCACCCAGCCCCTAGAGCCTGGCACTTTGAACTTGGACTTAAAGCCTCCAAATTGTAAGAATAAACTCCTGTTTGTTAAGGCCATCCCATTTGTGGTATATTCTTGTCAGAACGGCACTAGGGAACCAGAACAGAATCCTTGACAACTTCAATTTCTTCTTCATTTATCATGGTGCTGTGTATCAGTCCTGTTGAGAGGATTTTTGTTTTCTTTATGTTCTAGTGTAATTTATACTGAAGGCTGTAGTTTTATCTTCATCTGTAAGTGCTTCAAGTCATCGTCATGTTGAGCAAGTCAGGTTGTATTATCTGCACATCTCAGGTTGTTTAATGAGTCTTCCTCCAACCTGATGCTGTGTCTTCATACAGTCCAGCTTCTTAGATAATTTGTTTAGCATACAGATTGAATAATAAGGTGAAAGAATACAACACTGCTACGTATCTTTTCCAATTTTAAGCCATGCAATAATCCCTTCTTCTGTCTGAAGGACTATCTCTTGATCTATGTTCAAGTTACACATGAGCACAATTAAGTATTCTGGAATTCTCATTCTTTGTAATGTTATCCATAATTTGTTGTAACCCACACAGCCTTTATATAGTCAATAAAACACAGGTAAACATATCTAAGGAGACCTGATGACAGTGATTAAGTACTTGGTTGCTAATCAAAAGGTCAGAAGTTTAAACTCATCAGTTGCTCTGCAAGAGAAAGATGTGGCAGTCTGCTTCTGTAAAGATTATAGCATTGGAAACCCTACAGAGCAGTTCCACTCAGTCTTATAGGGTCACTATGAGTCAGAATGGATTCAATGGCAAGGGGTTTGGTTTAGGGTTTAAACATCTTTCTGGTACTCTTTGCTTACATTCAAGATTGATCTGACAACAGCAATGAAATCCTTTATTCCATGTCCTCTGAATCTGGCTTAAACTTCTGGGAGTTCCCTGTCGATGTGTGGTTGCAGTCTTTTTTCAATTATCTGCAGCAAAATTTTGCTATCATGTGATATTAGTGATGTTTTTTGATAATTTCTGCATTCCATTTATTTGACTTTGTTTGGAATGGCCATGAATATGGAACTCTTCTAATAAGTTGGTCAAGTCTGTCATGCCATATGCCGGGGTCTCGGGGCAAGGACGCACTCCACTCATTTCCACATTTTAGGTATCTGTCAGAGCAGCACCCCACTCTCTTGGTACCAAATTCTGTTCTAGTTACCTACTGCTGCTCTGACAGGAATATACCACAAATTGGGTGGCCTTAACAAACAGGAGTTTATTCTTACAATTTGGAGGCTTTAAGTCCAAGTTCAAAGTGCCAAGCTCTAGGGGCTGGGTGAAAGCCCCTCAGCCTTGGGCTTCAGCTCTGCCTCCAGCTCCTGGCCCATTGGAGCTAGAGGCTTTTCTTCACTCAGAGAACTGCTGGCTGCTGAGGCTGCCAAGCCCAAGGTTGACAAGAAGGCACAGTCCTGATGTTACCAAACCACATGGTAGGCCATTAATTTAAGTCCATTGTAAGTCCTCAGTTCGGCAGAGCATGGCAAACTGCTGAACAGTGACATGGCTACATGCAGGGTCCAAGCATGCTATAAGCTAGAGACCATTTCCAAAGCTGTTTCTTATATACAGGAAGCAGACCACATACCCAATGGCAGCTACTCAGCTGCTCTCAATATATTCCACCATAGAGTTGATTGCCAGTCTCCTTATGGGAAATAACTACCACCAGCTGCCCAGCCAAGTTGACACACAAACATAACCACTGCAGTATTGCAACCGGAGGCTTGAATATTCTATTCAGGTCTTTCAGCTTGAAAAATGCAGAATATTCTTCCCTTTTGGCTTTCTGACCTTAAGTCTTTGCTTATTCATCATAGCACTGTCTTGTCTTCTTGAGCCATCTTTTGAAATTTGTTCAGCTGTTTTACTTCATAATGTCTTCTGTTTGCTTTAACTACTCTGTAGTCAAGAGCAAGTTTCTGAGTCACTTCTGACATCCATTTTGGTCTTTTCCTTATCTTCTGTTTCTTTCATGATCTTTCACTTTCTTCATATATTATGTCTTCTCACAACGCCCCTGCTTTTTGGTTATTAGTACTCAGTGCATCGAATCTATTCTTGAGTTGGTCTCTACATTCAAGCAGGATGTATTCAAAGTTGTACTTTGACTCTTGTGAACTTGCTTTGATTTTCTTCAGCTTCAACTTGAACTTGCACATGAACAATTAATG